CCTGCCGAGAAGCTCAACCCCACGCCTCTCAAGGTTCTGGGGGTCGGTTGGGTTTTTGGGGGTTGTTGTTTTGGTTGTTCGGTTTGGTTTTTTTTGTTTTTTAAGCGAATTTACCTTGTGGTTTCTAGTATTATGATTAATATTTTTTTTCCTCCCTGCTGGAAAACGGGGTTACGCGCGCCTTTCCTCCGCTTTTCCCTCTCTCCCCTTCCGTGTGTGGCCGCCGCCGCCGTTGGAGAAGCGCCTTCCTCGTGCGAGTCACTTCCTAGAGCTGATGGACGCCGCCGTTGCCCAATGGCGAGACGAAGGGCCGCGCGGCGCCCGGAGTTCCCTCTCCTCCGACCTGCCGGAGGTGCCGGACCATCGTCCGGATACGAGGGGGCCACGTCCCCAAGGTTGGGGTCTTGGTGGGGGGGGACATGACACTGTGACTCTCCTCTCTCGGGACACCCCGCTCCGAGCTTTCTCTGGGCTTTGCACCTTGAGCTGGGTTAAACGTCCCCTGGCCGTGTCACCCTGCTTGGCCAGTGGTTTTGAACCAGAAATGCTGTTTTTTTTTAATCTCGCCGGTCAAGGACAGTGTGCTTTGTCATGTTTTCTCTCATTTTGGTGCCCAATCTGTTGCGGGGAAGGAGTTCGGTACCGCCGCGTGTCCTGAAAGTGTGTGTGTGTGTAGGGGGGGGGAAATAATGACATATCAGCCTGATAGACTCTTCTTTCCATCAGCGTTGGGAGGTGATTAATGGCGTGGAAAGTGCTGTGGAGCTTGGTATCGAAAATCTGTAGCTGGGGGAGATGTTTGGGGAGCAGGGCAAGGCCAGCTGGGAGCCCCGGCCCCCGCGGTGGTTGGGGTTTTGGGATAAGCTCGCTGGCCCATGGGTTTTGTAAACATCCAGCTGTGAACTGCTCGAGCGCCGCTCGCACTTTCAATTATCGGGAAGTTTCAGGCTCGGCCACCCCGTGGAGACGAGCCGGGCGGTTTCCACTTTCTCTCTGAGCTGTTGTTTCAGGCTGCCTTCAAACCTGGGCAGGGTCTCTCCCCCCCCAAGCTTTCTCTGGGCTTTGCACCTTGAGCTGGGTTAAACGTCCCCTGGCCGTGTCACCCTGCTTGGCCAGTGGTTTTGAACCAGAAACGTTGTTTTTTTTTAATCTCGCCGGTCAAGGACAGTGTGCTTTGTCATGTTTTCTCTCATTTTGGTGCCCAATCTGTTGCGGGGAAGGAGTTCGGTACCGCCGCGTGTCCTGAAAGTGTGTGTGTGTGTAGGGGGGGGGAAATAATGACATATCAGCCTGATAGACTCTTCTTTCCATCAGCGTTGGGAGGTGATTAATGGCGTGGAAAGTGCTGTGGAGCTTGGTATCGAAAATCTGTAGCTGGGGGAGATGTTTGGGGAGCAGGGCAAGGCCAGCTGGGAGCCCCGGCCCCCGCGGTGGTTGGGGTTTTGGGATAAGCTCGCTGGCCCATGGGTTTTGTAAACATCCAGCTGTGAACTGCTCGAGCGCCGCTCGCACTTTCAATTATCGGGAAGTTTCAGGCTCGGCCACCCCGTGGAGACGAGCCGGGCGGTTTCCACTTTCTCTCTGAGCTGTTGTTTCAGGCTGCCCTCAAACTCGGGCAGGGTCTCTCCTCCCTGTGAAACCAGCACAGGGTGATGTGGGGCTCCCTGATACGAAAACTGGGGGGGGACAGGGGGGAAAAGGCCACAATGAGAGTGATTTTCCTGCTGCTAAGCTCCGGAGCAGAGGGACAGGTTGTGTGGTGGACCCTCCCCTTGCTTTGTGATATTGCAGGATATGGGGGGACCCTGCCGTCCTGTTCCGTTGTGAGCGGTCAGTGGTTGGCACGTGGGGTGAGGAGCAGCCTGGGGTAGGAATCCCCAGCTCTGCCCTGCTATCTGTCCGTCTGTCTGTCTGTCTGTCTGTCCGAGGGAGTTGTGTGCTGTGGCTGGGGGAGCCGTGTCCCCGGGCTGGTGATGCTGAGGTGTAGTTCTGGTGTAGCTCCCTCACCGCCAGCGGTGAGCGCGTGGTGGAAAAAGTGCTGTTATGGGTGTCACTGCCGGGGCTGGCTGCCGTGTCCCCTTCCCCTTCGGCCACCTCCCAGGTGAAGGTCCCCAGGTGACACGGGAGGTCCCCCTCCCAGTGCTCCCAGTTCCCTGCCGGCAGGCTCTCCACAGCATCCCAGTGGGTTGTTTACCAAAGCGCTGAAGAGCGTCTGATCCGTGTCCAGGCTTCCCCAGAGAGCGCCTCAGAGAGCCGTGTCCTGGCAGCTCTCGGACACGCTCTGAAGGTTCCCCAGTCTCCCCCTTTGCTGCTGGATGCTGGTTCCGATCCATACGGGAAACGGAAAGCTGGCCAGCTGGGCGAGGGCTGCGCGGAGCTCCTCTAGAACAGTAAACAGTGACTCACCCCCCTCCTTGTGTCTTCTCTCTCTCTTCATGTCAAACCTCTCGCCTCGCATATGCTTCTGCTCCCTGATTCACACCCTCGGCCCAGCCCTCCCCGCTCCCGGTGCCAATGAGTGACAAGCGTCACTCTGCCTTCCGGGGAGGTGTGAAGATTGTCAGGGCAGGAGAATGGTGGTTTTTTTTTTTGAATGATGGAGGAGAGGGCTGGTGCTCTGCCTGCCGCGCCGGGAATCCACCTCCTGCCACCGAGCGGCGAGGATTGAAGCATCCCTAGCTCACCTGGGGGCTCTGATGGTACCCTGGGTAGGCCTGGCTGGAGCTCGGGAGCCGTATAAAGGAGGGATTTTATCCGCCAGGACTCGTGGGTAAAGGAGGAATTTGGGTGACTTTATTAAAACGGCTGCCTGGGAATCAAATCTCCGCGTCTGGGAGCGAGGGGAGTGTTCTGCTCACCCACAGCCCGACTGCGGGTGCTGGGTTGGGAGTGGATGGAGGAGATCCCCGGTGCTGCTTGAACCTCCCGCTTGTTTTTCTGCCCTCTGGAAGCTGCCACCAGCCTGGCTGAAGGTGAGGGGTTGCGTGTTTTCACTTTGCTGTCCGTGGCTGGGGATGGAAGCGAAACACCAGCGGGGCCCTCTGCCAGGCGCTCGTGTTCTGGCCGGGGTTGTCTTCCAGCGTGGAAGGAGTTTGAAAACTGGAGTTCAGTTGTCGGGTGTTCGGCGGAGGCTTTGTAGTAATTCCTTCCTGCCCAACGCGCTTCGAAAGCCCCGTAGCGTGGAAAGTCTGAAATCTCAATCCTGGCGTGTTTTCTGCCTTAATTTGCAAGCCTTGTGTGGAAAGCTCCCTCCTGCCTCTGCCCTGGCCAGGCTTTTCTGCCGCCTTCTCCTCTCCAAGCAGAAGAGCTGGGGGATCTCTGGATGCTCCCAGCCGAGAGCGTGGGGCTTGGGATGTCACCTGGAGACCTCCAGGATTTTTTTTTGGGGGGAGGAGGATGTTGCAAGGGGCGTTAAGAGCCGCCCGAGAGAGGGAGAGGGCGTTGGCGAGGCTGTCAATGGGTAACTTTATTGCAGAATTACAAGGGTTCTTTATGTAAGGCACAGTCAAAACACTGGTGTTTCAACCCGGGAGCTGCTCTGGAGAAGGCTTTGCTCCTCAGGGTTGGTGTGTTGCTGCTCCCCGCTCTGTTTGTGGGGCGTTGGGAGCGTGGTACGCGGCTTACGGAGCAGCCCTGTCGTGCCGTCCCTGTTCCAAAAAAGCCGAGCTCCTAATTTTAGACCTGGTGCAGCAAACGCAATTAAGGAAAGAAGGGCAGGAATAGGGGTAAAGACTAAAAAGGGTGCTAGTAATCAAATGGCAGGCGGGGTCCCAGAAGACCCCCTCTGTGTGGTGCGGTTAGGGGATGCTGCTGGAGGTGGCACGTCAGTGGGAGGGTTGGTGACTTTTGTTGTGGGGTTTTGCCTTCTGGCTGTGGGAGATGCCACCCCGATGGGAGGCCCTTGGTGTTGGTGGCCGAATAGTCCCGATGGGGGGGATTTTGTAGGTGGGGAGGTGGAGATGGAGCCTGGGGAGAGCTGTAGGTGGGGGTTGCAGGTGCCACCGTATCGGTTTCAAGCAGAGCCTGGACCACACCTGTGGGTTCACCTGGTGTGGAGATAAGACTCACCCCAGGAATGGTGTCTGGGTGCCAGAATTGGGCTCGTTTGAGTGTTTCTACTTGTTCTACCAAATCCTGCCCTTGGGGTTGGGGCAGACCCCCATCTCCCACCCTTGTTTTGAAGAGGACCCGGTGTTACAGCTGTTCCTGATGGTGCCCTGAACCTCCTCGCCCTCGGTGGCTCTGGCACATCGCTTCTGGTGCCATAGGAGGGATCCCAGCCTTTCTCTTGGAGATATCCTAGCCCATCTCAGTGGGATGCTGGCCCATCTGGGGTGCTTTGGGGTGCTGGGGGAGCCAGGCGTGTGGCACAACACCCCGTATGGAGCTGCAGAGCTCCTGTGCTGCAGGAAAAAGAGATGCTGCTTTGGTGACATGGAGCAGCAGGTGACCAGGAGGGGTTTTGTCCCGTGGAACATTGCTGGGGGTGGCGAGCGAGCCCACACGCCGACCCCCGCCAGCAGCCACCTCACCCCTCGCCTCTTGTTTGCCGTGATGTTTTACATTTCTTTCCATCCCCGGCGCGGCCAAGCGGCCCTGTTCAGTTTTTCCATCGGCTGGCGTCGAACAGCGCTTTGAAGAGGCGCTGGGTGAGGA